AAAAAAAAAAAAAAAAACTTATATTAATTAATCACACTATATATATTGAATTCTTGATTTATATATTCATGCTTTCAAATTAAAATATCATACTCTAAATTAAAAACGAAATTAATTACATAAATATTGGAGCAATTAAACATGATGAGTTTACCTGCTGTTTGTTGTTGCTGCCGCCATGGATGAAAGATAGCTCAAATTAAGGATAAATTAATTTTCCCTGTGTTTGCTACTTAATGTGATTATTAGTATGAGGTATTATTGGGGGTGGACTGGTGGCTTAAAACACACGTGTTGTAACACGTGCTGTGTACCAAGTTGTTACGTAAGCGAATGGCCAGTAACTGAGATATGATCATATAAGGACCACGGAGTTTTCCTGTATATCCGAAAACCGGAAAGTCCATTATGCCAAAAAGAAAAATACTACGTTTTCTATTGTGGCGGCTCATAAAACGTAGTAAAGAAGAAGAAGAAGAAGATTTGTTGGACAATAGTTGAATCTAAGTGTGACTTGTAGAGTGGCCACATAAAAATATCTTTAATTAAGATTAAGAAATTAAATTAAATGGAGAAAAGTCTCATGACAACTGATTAATGGGAGAATTGGTTACAAATGTATTAAACATGTATCAATTTTAGCTAAAAGTGAGGCCCGGACCGGGCTGGCAGGTCGACCCAGAGCGGAATAGGTCCGGATTGATTATTTGGACTGGGCAACAAAGAACCTGGTCAAACCCGGTCAAAACCTAGCCAACCTGGTCGACTCGGGGCATTGACCCGGCCGGGCGCAATATATATTTTTTTATTTTATTTTTTATTTTATTTTATTTTTTTTGTTTTTTTTAAAGTATATATATTTATATAGTAAATATTTATCATGAAATATATATTATTAACACTTTAATGTACAAATTTTATATACAAAATATTTATTTTTGTTACTTTTATGTATATTTATATGACAAAATACTCATTACATAATTTTAAAAATTTTAAAATTAATTATCCGATTCAACAATTGTATTGGTGACCCCGAGACCTGTCCGGGTCATTTCGGATGGAGTTTAAATACTATGGCTAAAAGAAAGGTGTTATTATTATTACTATTATTTCTTTTTTTTTTTAATAAAGTTCAGAATACACCCACAATTTATTCATTATTCACCCAATTTTAGTAAACAACAATCTTCATGATTTACAATCAGACATCAACATTGAATATGAACATTTTTTTTTTTAAAAAAAAATACTTTATATTAATTATTTATACCTAATTACATGTTACTGACTAATGTTCTATTTTTTTTTTATTTTTTTTTTCTGGTGCAAACTGACTAATGTTCCATTACCTAATAGTAACCATATCAAGTAAAATTTTATTTGGAAATTTACCTGATGACAAACATTCTTTAATTTTCATTAATTATTATTTTCTCCACGGTTTGATGGAGACAAGATCGCTTCAGATTCGAGGGCCAATCCTTCTCAACCGGGGGAGAATGATGGAGAGGAAATCGCTCTCGCCTTCCTTGATAAATATGATCGACTTCGGATTTAATTTATTTGTTATTTTAGCATTATTATTCATTTTATTTATTTCTTTACGTATTTAATTATTATGAGTTAGGTAAATAATTATAATGCAACTTGTTAGACAAGATACTAGTATTTACTATGAGTTAGGTAAATAATTATAATGCAACTTGTTAGACAAGATACTAGTATGAGTAGGACCGATTTCGTTATGGATCCAAGAGTTGACTCCATAGTGAACCCAACTTTCTATATACAACAAGTAAACTTATCATATTCTCTGATTACTTAAATAACATTAATATAATTTTATTAATATGGTAAATTTATTTGTTGTATATAAAAAATGGCTCCACTATAGAACCAACTGTTGACTTCATAACAAAACCGTGAGTAGGACTCTATTTGTTTATCTGGCCAAAGCAAGTGGTGAATGAGTTTGAGAATTTTTATGTGATATTGTGAATTCTTCACGAGAAAATATCTCGTATATCCCGTTCTTAATCACGTTCTACATCATTAATTAAACAAATCAGTTTGTATATAATTACATGCAAATTAATTGCCATCAAGAACATTCATATAGAATATATGCCTACAATATTGAACCAAACTCAATATCATTCCACAAAAGATGAAACCTCTTTCCTCACAAAGAATAGGCCCGAAGGCCCATCGTTAGGCAACAGAGCCAGCCTCACCGGGCTTTCGGCACCTTCTCCAACCGTCAATAAACCGGTATTATAGTTTATGTCGGTTTTTACAAATCCAGGGCACACACAGTTAATCTTGAAATCTGGGTTTTTCTTGGCAAGAACCCTCGTGTAGGCATTCACGGCCGCTTTAGAAACTGTATAAGCACCGAAAAACCGAGGCCAGCCTTTGGCTTCAAGGGAACTCTCTTTGAAGTCTTTAAGGAACGCACTCAACACCTCTTCGATTTTCTCTTCTGTAAGATTTTCAGCGTCGTTTAGTATCCCTTTGGCCCACTCGTTCGGTATATTCTGAAACAAAGCAAGTTGTATTTTTTTTTTTGGGGGGTTAAAAATGGAAAAAAAGGTCCTTATTATGCTCCATAATCCAATAGCTTTTGCCTTGAAAAATAACAATTGAATAACTTTAGCTTCTCCATTGCTAGTTTGGGCTATGGTATCAAAGTTCTAAGAGTTTGCTAATGCTATGGTGATAAAAAAAACAAATAAAGCAAGCCGGTAACATAATTTACCATAGTAATTAAAGTAGTTGCATATTAATTCCCAGCTCAACGTAAGATCAATTATAAGTTATATTTAAAACATTGGAAAGAATATGGTACCTTAAGCTTCCCCATTGCAGAGGATACATTAACAATCCTGGGGGAATAAGACTGCCTCAGCAGAGGTAAAAGAGCTTCGGTTGTTCTTTTGGTACCATAATAGTTTGTCTCGATACAGTCAATGGCTAAGTCATATGTCTGACTCAATATCTCATTCCAGTTGACATTTGCTCCTCCAGTCTGTAAATCTCATCCAGAGAGAGAGAGAGAGAGAGAGAGAGAGAGAGAGAGAGAGAGAGAGAGAGAGAGAGAGGAACACATAGAATTCAGTTACACAAACATTCACACATTAGTCCACTAGGACAACGAAAATACACTACTTGCACAGGTTGAATTATCCATACATCTAAAGTGAGAAATTTATAAGAACTGGAAAAACGAAATTTGCAATGTAATAAACGATTGGGGAAAAAAAAGGAAAGGAAAAAAAGAATACCCCGCTGCCAGCCCCAGTGATGGCTTTCAGAGCATCAGCATCGGCAGTTACACCACCAATCCCTGCATTGTTTACCTAAAAAGGATGGGACTGAGCTTAAATAGCAATTTACACACTGAAACTTATTCACCTCAGCACGATACACAATTAGCAGTATTAGCAATTCAAGAAAAGCAAAAATCAACCGACTGTGCCTATCAAATTCTTATTTCTAGTGCTTAGCCTAATTCGGCAAGAGAAAAATTGAAGATAAAGATAAACAATCTTGATTTTTTTCAAATTAGCATCAAAGAATTAGCCCATAACGTGAAAAACTGGCCACTCGCAATTATTTCAAATTAGCATCAAAGGATTAGCCCATGGGGATTCATTGGGAAAGAAAAAGAAGCAACAAACATGAAAAAACTAGCCACTATTAACAAAAATGGCCCCCAAAAAATATTTCAACAGCTACAACTTTGATTCATTTACTTCTAGAAAACACCAACCATCACATCTAAACACACAAAGATCGCCCATTCATCAGCAATTCACAACCATCTCACATTACAACTGAAGTCTTGAGCAAAAAGATCAATTTCGAACTATTGTATCAATGCCAATACCATGAGATCTAACCAAAAACACACACATACACAGAAAGAATAAATAAATAAATAAATCTATGTCCATACCAAGATATCAAGCCTTCCAAAATGAGACCGGATAAACTCAGCCAGAGAAGCAGTACTTGCTAAATTAGTCACATCAAGCCGATGAAAAAGTATATCAGCAGCAGAATCTGAAACCCCATTAGAGCCTTTGAGATTTGCAACAGCTTCGAGTCCTCGATTCTCGTCTCTAGCCGTTAACACCACTGTTACACCTTCAGACAACAACTGCCTGCAAATCTCAAGACCAATCCCTTTGTTTGCTCCAGTGACAACAGCGTACCTGCAGTATAAATTCGAGTAAATTAAAAGGCCAACCGACAAAAATAAATACTACGGTGGAACTTGGAAGAAATTTTTGCTTACTTGTTTACATTTTCAGCCATTGATGGAGCTCAAGTTCAGACCTTGATGAAGTGTGTTTGGGGATAAAAAAGTTAAATAAGGTAGACTTAGAGCATCTCCAATGATACATGGATTGTTCTCTTTCCATTGCCACATAACCTCCAAAATCCAACGTGGCCTTCAATAAATCTAGAAGTCTTTCTAGATATAAAAAGACTTCTAGACATCTTCCATTTAATATTTTATTATTTATTTTATATTTATGTTTCTACCAACCAATTATTATATTACATGTGTCAAATTATCTCACAATTGAGATTAACCATGGGAGACAAAATATTTTCTTTTCCTTTCTCCACATCATACATCTCAAAATACACATCGAGTCATTGGAGATGCTCTTATCTTGAAAGTCGACGTGTGTGAATGAAGTATTTACACATATTCAACAGAAAATATTAGAATCGAGCCCGTTGGGCCGGCCTACAATGAATACACAGTCCCAGCTGATTATATAGCGAGTTTGGCGAGTCATCCCCGATTGGCCTCCTTCATTTATTATCTCCAGCGATTGGGTACTTGGCTGGACCATGATAATATTAGGGTTTCGTACTCTTGAGTCCTAACTTAGAGCTCGTGAATTCGTTCCTTGTACAAAAAAAATAATAATAATAATAAAATAAATACACTTGAAATGCGTTCAAGTCGGAATTCGATTTGAGGTCGAGTTTCAAGAGTATGAGCGCAAATGATAATTTTGATTTTCTCTTTTCAGTTACGAACTCTAAATGGTATATTTTTCACTTCTTGTCTTACACATTTTAATATTAGCAATGGTGAAAATGCTATTCTGAGACTCATTGCATACACATGCTAACAAAACTGTTGCACATGACAGCCTTATATTATGATCATCACGCTAATAATATAGTTCATTACAACAATATTGATTATTTCATCCAACTACTCAGCTCTGATACGCGGCAATGCTATGTCTATACGAGTTTTCATCCATTTGTATCTCAAATTCTCAATGAGCATACAATGGACTACACATTCAATACATGTTTTGCAGGAAATAATAATAATAAAAATTATAATAATAATAATAATAATAATAATAATAATAATAATAATAATAATAATAATAATGTCGCCAAAAATATTTTTTTAAAAAATGGTGGGCCCCCACACGGCTTGTTACTTTTCTTGAACGAGAGGGCTGTAAACAGGATACCACATGTTCTGTTTCACATATCTGATGGTTTCATCCTGCAAATCACAAGAACAATGTATGGATCACATTTTTCTGTTATGGCTAAAAAGGGGGGAGAAAAATAATTCTATACAATTGTATCGGGACAGGATTAGTTTCAAGTTTTAAAAAGTGATCCTAAAAGCATTAATCTTGTCCTAAGGATAGTAAGTTCTGCAGATTCTCAGCATTAACATGTATGGGAAAAAAAAATGATTGTAATTTTGATGTATTTCTTATTGGGGAGGCAGTTTGTCAATTTTAAAAGTACGAGGTGCCAAGTGTCAACTTTCAAATAGCTAGGGAGGCGAAAAAAGAATCCTCGTAAAATAAGCTCATCCTACCTTTGACATGTGTGATAGTTCTCTGGGGCCCACTTCTCCGTGTCCTTCAGCCACTTCTTCTGCAACTGCTGCCCTCAAAACACAGGCACCGACCTCTGCTGTGATATCTCGTATACTGGCACAAACAAAGATAAAAATTCGTTTAGGAAAAATTGGACCACACAAAGATACATATTCATGAAAAGAACACGCTGGATAGATAAGTAATACAATTGTACTATGGTGATTATTATATGGACTACAAAACAGTTATGTCGTTAGCAATCATGCACGTGTAAAAGTCTCACCTGTCTATAGATGGATAGAGCACACCTCTTTGAATTTCTTCATCCGTCATATATGAAGCAAGGCTGCAATGGAACCAGCATAAAATTTAGAGAAAGTTAAGGTTACATTAGATTTAATGCACCTTCATGATGAAGAGATTACACATTTTATTCCCAAATTTGTCTGAAGTCAAGTTGCTAATGATATGTCGAAAGATTGACCATTAGTGAAGTGTAATTTGGTATAGCATGAAAAGTGTCCAAAGAAACCAGTTAACTTAATTTATTTTATTTTTTTTGTTTGTTTATAATAGAAAGGGAAGTTGCTAATGCGTACCACTCGGCAGCTGCTTGCAGCATTTCATCAGTAATAATACGAGCACCAGCGAGAAGACTTCCCAAGCCAATTCTGAATGAGCAAAGCAAGTTCATAAGATTAATTTATGTACAAGAGGTGGGGGTGTTTGCAATATCCAAATGCAATTTCAGAAATTTCTACTGACCCTGGAAAGAGGTACATGTTATTGGCTTGGTTGACATAACCTACTTTGCCATTCCCTGTTACAAATGGAACAAATTAGGGCTCGCCAAAATAAATTAATAAACTAAAATAAACTGAAAATATCGGACATATACCAAGATCAACATTGTCAAAAGGGCTCCCACTTGCAAAAACAACATTTTCACCGGCATGCTTGAAAGCCTCTGCAGCAGTGCATTCGGCTGTTCCACCAGAACATGTAATGATATTAGGTCAAGATAATAGAGGGTACAAAGTAGCAAAGGGTAGAGAACAAACCATTTGTTGTAGGATTTGACATTGCGAAAATAGCAGGTTTAATGGAGTCTGAATCTCGCATAGCCTTTAGGACCTGATTACAAGTCCACCAAGTAAGCAAAGAATTATTCATGTTTAAAGATCCATGATATGAGTAGTCGGTGCAAAGAATGCAGTATATCACACTTCGTAAACATTATATTTAATGCCTAGCAGTACTATTGTTAGGCAGGCAATCCACTATATATGGTTTGGACACTTGAAACAAAAAATTTCAGGAAAAATAAGTGCCTAAATATTAAAAGGTAAAGAACATTTCAGGAATTTTGCAAAATAAATTGATCTGGGTTAAGTTAAATGTATAAAATGATAAAAGCGTGCCATGTGTGTGAGAGACGCAGGAGATTTAGTATGCCTTTCCTGCTCTTAGGACTCAAATATGCAGAAAGGAAAAAACTGCAGAGTCCCTAAATTAAGATAATGGAAATGGTGCCGAAATAAAATGCTCTGTGGGCATCATGTTAAAAAGAACATTATGAAGCCATTTCAATGAGTCATAAAATAAAATAAGAAACGAAATAAATCAAGGGGCACAAAATTGGATCAGAAGAAAGTCTGGTGCAGAGGAAAGAACCTCCTCATTAAAGACACCGCCAACTCCAGATAAACCAAGAAGCACATGTGGCTTGACTTTCTTAACCTGCATCATGACTCGTTTTCAGCAAAAATTATCTTGATCCATAAACCACTATAGAATTGTTGTAAGTCCCAAACAAGCTGTCAATTAGTTAACATATGTAGAAGAAAAAAAAGATTTACCACTTCTAAGAGACTGGATCCCTCTCTAAGTCCGAGTTCTCCAATCTCACTTTGCGATTTAGCAAATGGAGAAGCTGCAGGATCAATACATTTTCTCTCTTTCGTGATAAGACCCTGTGGGACAGTATAATCAAGTTTAGTATGCCAAAATACAAACCAGTCGAGAAAGAAATTTGATGGAAAGTTATAAACTTCTATGACCTAGTACAAATGGTATTTGCCCATTTTTCTCCTGAGATATTACTGATTTGTTTCAATTGAAGGACTACCAAAGCAACCATCCAAACTCTCAAAAAAAAACAAGAAGAAAAAGAAAAATAAATCCTCTCTTTTCTGCTATCTGTTTTCCTCTAGTTTACCATTACAGAAGACATAATTTCCACTAGACTTTCAAGTTTTTTTAGACCAAATAAGAAACTGAAAATTACTAAAGAACTATTGAGACCTTAAATTACTGGTTCTCGCTATTTTTCTACACGTCACTGTTCAAGCCAATTTTAGAAATTGCACTAAATATAACATAATTTAATAGCTGAAGGTTCCGAATAAATACATCTTTATCAAGAAGGAAGAAGTGAGGATCGGCATTTGGCCCACTCATTCTTGAAACAGCCTGCAATGCCATCTTAAGAACACCAAGTCCCGCGCTGCAAGTACAGACCGTGGGTTAAGGAAATAGTAGAAAGCTTCCCACAGACCATTAAAGTTTCCTAAAGTTCTCAGAGGGGAAACAAATAAAAAGTTCAATGCAACCTTCCAGCCCCAACCACGACTATCTTTTGGTTTGCAAAATTAGTCAATGGCTTCCCCTGTGCCCTAACAGTACCAAGTAGTCCAGCCAATGCAACACCAGCCGTTCCCTGTATGTATGTATTACGATTATAAAACATTAGTTCAGAAATGCACATTCAGAGACCTCTTCTTCAACTTATCATTCATCCAAGTAAATAAAATAGCAGTGTCTGACATCATTTTACCTGTATGTCATCATTGAACATGCAAAACTTTTTACGGTACCTATCGAGAGTCTCAAAGGCCCACTTCATTTGAAAATCTTCAAACTGAGAAGGTTGTCCCAACAGCATACTGTTAACATTGTTGACCACAATATCACTAAAATAAATTATTTAAACAAATGGACCTGCACAATAGCCTTTGGCCAACGTGCATGAATAGCTTCCATGAGTTCATCAACAACTGACAAGTATTCTTCTCCTTCCAGCCTTGGTTGTCTGACTCCTAAATCTGTTAAACTACAATAATGTCAGTAGCAAATACTTACTCAAGGGAAACAAGAGCATAAATAAAGAGGCAGAACTCCAAATAATAAACATAAGCATTTGGAAAGGCAAATAGAAGGAATTCGGGGCAAGATCAAACATGAGCACGTTGAGAAATTCTACTCACAAAGTCGGTCTTCAAGTAACTTCTGGTTGTTGGTACCAACATCAAGCATAATTGGCAGTACCTGGACATATGAATAAGTAAACCAAGGTCTTAGAAATTTAATTAAGTAATATGAGGGCACCACATCTATCTTCTTATAACGTCATTTTCATTTTATAACTTCTAAATGGCAACTTAAATCATGTGTATATAAATATATTTACATTGCGTGTGCCTGTAACAAAAGCATATCCATTAAAAAGGTTTTCCACATGCATGCTTACTATGTTGTTCGAATGCCTAAACAGTACTTAATGTAAAATAGATACCAATGGTTAATTCATAAGTGTTGGCTACATATGTGAAGAACGAACCTGCTTGTCATCAACGAAGATAGAGAACAGAGATGAGAATTGACGTACCTTTTGTGGGTTGATGCCAGCAGCAGCAACATACATGTCAAGTTTCCCAATAGGAATACCTATTCCCTGAACTCCAAGGTCACCTAGACCAAGAATGCGACTCCCATCTGTGAGCACAATCATATCAACCTGCAAGAGGAACGGTTCAACAAAGAATTTCAAGTTCATAGTAAAAGACAAAATAAGTTACAAGAGAAAAAAAAAATGGACAAAATAACAAAGAGAAAACCAAAACAATTATCATTAAATGACATGTGAAAATTGCATATCATATCATAAAATCCTATAATCAATGGCCACATTACAAACTTATGCTAATATATAACATGTCAAATTGCATTTATATTTGCAGGCTTCTATGTCCCAAAGATGATTGGTCACAATTTTCTGGATTGAATAACTAGAAATTGCTACAAAAAGAAAACATATGATACCCGGCGGAAATTACTGATTGTATCGTTTTAAACAACAAAGTCATCATCTAAGTTTAATAATACCTGCTG